GAAGGATCAACAGGGACTGAACCAGGGGCGGACTGACCATTTGGAAACTTGGGCGCTGCCCGAGGGCCCAGGGTCAGTAGGGGGCCCCATGAGATGCCCCTGGTACCTTTTTTATAGGCTTTTTTGAGTTTGGGCAAGGACACAGGGGCCCCATGATCCCCTATTGCCCGGGGGGCCCCATGAGTTGTCAGTCTACCCCTGGACTGAACCCACATCTGCAGTGGCTGGTACACTTACAATGAACTTTACAAAGGTTATCCATGTACCCTGATGACACCTGACAGATCCAACAGAGGAGGTGGCTGGAAGACAGTCCGGCAACTAGGCACCTGAATAAGGCTCCATGCACACGGGGCATTTCAATAACGCTGGTCACGTTAGCTGTGTAAAGTCACGTTAAAAACATGAGTTTTTTCAGCTTTTTTTAGTGTTTTTGTACTAGCGTTTAGCGTCATTTTGCCTTGGTTTTTTGCTTTTATTGCATTTGCCTTTTTTTAGCGTTTTTTTGACCCAAAAAAATCTCTGTTAAGTAAAAAAAAGTCCAAAGCCGCTGGTTTGCCACGATTTACTGCGGATTACCGTGTTTTATCGCGTTTTGCCACATTTTTCAGCGTTAGAGCGTTTTACAGCTAAAAAAACTCTTTCTAGAAACCCACTAGTCCTGTTTTTTTTCCAGCCAAAAAATGTCCCTGCCAAAAACATTGATTGCAGTCTATGGGTACATGACATATAGGATAACATGCTGGGGGGTTTACTGGCTGTAGAAAAAAACGTCAAAAGCCAAAAACAGCCGCTGTAAAAATTTCCAATGTGCATGAGGACTAAGGAAGAGCCAGAGACACAGTGACAGTCCCTAGTCTGTCCCTAACCAGTGGAAGATCTGTCTCTGACCTGACCACTCGCAAAATGCATGCCAATTTAGGGGAGACGGTGCTATTTATCAGCATTACCCACACCAAAGATGGCAGCGAAGGTCAACCAGGGCAGCAGCGTCCAACCAGACAGCTCCCCTAATGACACCTACGGAGGCTTCAGAGGGACATTCCTCCTTGTCCTTCACCCTCTCTGTATGGTGGCCACCAGACAGCACCACCCTTGAAGGGAAGCCAAACCCAACCTGGAATAAATTGTAATCTTAGAATTTTAGAACTTAGATTGGTAAGATTGTGGAATTCTCTTTTCAGGACATCGATTTCACGACATCAAATAACCAATAACAATCAGTGCAATCGAGATGATTTACTGCTAATGTCAGGGTCCCTGTGTATCATAGCAATACTCTAGTGGCCCTCGCTACTATTTGTTTTGTAGTCTGGGCTAAAGTGTGCTTTGCACTGTATTCTCCCTGCCAGCGGAACTGCCTGAAAGTGATTTAAAACGATTGCTTCGGTCTTTGACTTCACATTTATTAAAAGCTCAGACTGAGAAGAAACACTTACCAAGAGGATAAATCAGATTTATTCATACTGTTGATGAAATGAACACTTTTATCAGAACATTTATGCAAACTCATAGATCTATTGTATAGAGTGGGGATGAAAGAGTTAAAATGATCAGCTGTCTACCAGGGGCGGACTGACCATTCGAGCACTCGGGCACTGCCCGAGGGCCCGGGGTCAGTAGGGGGCCCCATGAAATGCCCCTGGTACCTTTTTTATAGGCTTTTTTGAGTGTGGGCAAGGACACAGGGGTCCCATGATCCCCTATTGCCCGGGGGCCCCATGAGTTGTCAGTTCGCCCCTGCTGTCTACTGAATAGGAAAAGAAAACATTCTGGGAGATTGGGAGGAAGATATCACTGGGGCTTGTACTGTGACCACATAGAACAAGCATCACACATTATGTACACTGTTCTCTTCTTAAGCCCCATACACATGATGAGAATATCGGACAAATGATCGCCTGTTTTTTTTTTTTTTTTTTGCATGGTAGCTTCAAATCAAAACAGAAGAGGTTACTAAACCCACGTGGAAAAAAAATATATTTTAAACATATTTTTAAAAATATTCTTTCCTAATATATTGACATTTATTTGAAATACTACAGTTTTGGCCATATTCAATATATTTAATAAAAAAAACAAAACAAATATATATATATATATATATATATATATATATATATATAAATATATATATTCTGTATGTTGAAATGCGTTTTTTTCTATATTAAAAAATATATATGAAAAGTATTTTTTTTTTTAAATTCAAATATACAGTATATGTCTTTGAAAAATACATGTAATCTCCATTTTTGGCATGCATTTACAAATATATGTAAAAATATATGTTAAAATTACTTTTTTATAGGTTAAAAAAAATCTAAAAAATATTTATTTTTAAATGTAGGCCTTTAGAAAGTATATTTAAATTTGCATTTTTTAGAATACATGTTAAAATATATTAGCATAGGCTAATATATTGTAAATATATGTCACATATATAATTTTTTTCTAAATATATTGGAAATATATTTCTCTGCCATCTGGGAAGTTATGAAAATTCTTGTATGACAGAATAAAAATTCAGAAGTAATGTAATGTATTTGTATTTTCAGACTAAAATCGTACTAATGAAACAAAAATCATACAATCTGGTATCATGCAATCTGGTATCGTAAGAATAAATTTTTCGTGCTTGTCCCTTCAAATAATTTCATATGAAAGCTGTGTACTAACGATCAATTTATTGCACGATCGCTTCCAAAGCGGTATTTTTCATGCGATTTTCTGATCGTGTGTACAAGGGTTTAGTATCTGAATGAACACAGCCATACATTCTTTTTGAGATGAGAAAGGGGGGACACTATTAAATATGGTCATATTCAGGGCTTTTTTTTTCTCAGAGAATAGGTGCATGAACTCCCCCCTTTTGAGTCACTTCTTGTCTACTCCCCCCTACCCACATCCAAGCACCGTCTCTTGGCTCAACCTCCTACCCACTTCCCAGTACCACTCCTTTTAGAGAATACAGAGCCAAGTATCGTTTTTTGGTGCTAATTTGTATGGGATTTGTTAACGACAACAGGAAAAGCAGTAAAATAGATCTCCCACAGCCAGCAGCAATAGACCCCCCACAACAATATATCCCCCTAGCAAAAATGGGCCCCCACAACAAAATACCACCCCAACAACAGACCCCCCAGCAGCAACAACAGATCCCCCAGCATCAATAGACTCTCCATAAGCCAGCAACAATAGACCATTCCCTCAACAGTAGATCCCTTCCATCAACAATACATCCCCCACCTGCAACAATAAACTGCCCCAACAACAACAGACTGCCACACAAAAATAGATCCCCCCCCCCCCCCCCCCCAGTGATCCCTCAGCAACAAGCATCGATAGACCAAAACACCCCAGCACCCCTTACCAATACATACATTCATTACCGGAAGTGACGGAACTGCATTCCCCTGTGTCCCCGCTGAAAAAAAGCCCTGGTCATATTCATATAGATTTTTCCCATACTCATGTGGATTCCTACATCCAAAAGCTGCACAGTGTGGAAGGAGCAATCTCCACTGCAGCATTTGTATTTTGACAGCTGATCACAAATATTTCATACACAAAAAAAAACAGAAGGAATCTATTTTTCATTTCTATTTCCTTCTACTATTTTCTGCTGTTTAACCCTCAAAGATTTTTTACAAGGCCTAAGGAGAAGTGAAAAAAAAATCTTGCACTGCCCGAGGGCCCGGGGTCAGTAGGGGGCCCCATGAGATATCCCTGGTACCCTTTTCATAGGCTTTTTTGAGTTTGGGCAAGGACACAGGGGCCCCATGATCTCCTATTGCCCGGGGCCCCATGAGTTGTCAGTCCGTCCCTGGCTGCAACTCTGAGACCAACAACTGAGCGATCATATGACCACTGATCACTCAATTCTTGGTCTTCTTGAAGCAGAGAGCAGTGGCTGTCAGTCTGCTCCTCCAGAGGAGAGAATGCATGAATGTAAAAAACCTCGAGCCAGGGGTGAACTGACAACTCATGGGGCCCCTGGGCAATAGGGGATCATGGGGCCCCTGTGTCCTTGCCCAAACTCAAAAAAGCCTATGAAAAAGGTACCAGGGGCATCTCATGGGGCCCCCTACTGACCCCGGGCCATCAGGCAGGGCCTGAGTTTCCAAATGGTCTTTTTCAGTAATGCTATGTTAATGGGAACATGTAACAGATGTAAAATAGGTGTTATCTCAATTTGGCTGCAAAAGTGGAGATTCAATGGAAAGGTTGACATTTGTCTTCCCTTATACAATGCAGAGAATATTATTAGAAATGTAATAAAATTCGGCCTTCGTGGAATTCCCTTGGTACTCAAACAGCCATGGGACTGATTTAATAATGTGACACAACCAATAGCAACAAGACCTAGCAGTTTAGTGCAGTTAGAACTATGGATGTGATCTGTGGTTTCTATGGGTTACTATTGTACATGCCTGTTCTTTTCTGAAGCCATGTTATTAAATAAAGACTCGCGTCTGGAGGATTGTAATCTGGTAATATGCACTTTATTAATCTTTGGCAAGTGACATAGGATTGTTTTTGGCTGCTATCGAAATCCTATCCTCTGAGACAGCAAAATATAGGCATTGCATTGCTGAAATCCCCCCAATAAATCAGCATCTGACAAAGAGACAAGTAAAAAAAAATGTTATACATGGAACAATAAAAGAATTAATGTAACGTGTGCTGGCTTTAGTTCAACATCATCTGCAGTCTCATCCCAGTGTTATTGTACGAGATCAATGAATGTTGTGTGCCCAAATCTTTCCAGCTCTTCTTATTTTTTAAATTCAGGAATAAAGTAACATTTTGAAAAAAATGTTTTTTTCTTTTAAAGCTTAACTCCAAGAATAAAGCTATCTAGACATATGAAATATATACAATATGGAGAGATGTACTAAAACTGGAGCATTCCATTTACATGAGCAACGTTTCCATTGACTTTAGCAGAATGGGGTTGATTTATTAAAACTGAAGGGTGCAACATCTGGTGCGGCTGTGCTTGGTAGCCAATCAGCTTCTAGTTACATAGTTACATATAGTTACATAGTCTGGCTGAAACAAGACAAAAGGCCTTCCAGTTCAACCATTAAAAAAAAAAAAGTTATAATCCTATACCCACAGTTGATCCAGAGGAAGGCAAAAAAACCCAGCAAAGCATGATCCAATTTGCTCTGCTGGGAAAAATATTCCTTCCTGATCCCCCGAGAGGCAATCGGATATTCCCTGGATCAACTTTTCCTATAAATGTTAGTATCCAGTTATATTCTGTGCAGGGGCGGACTGACAACTCAAAAAAGACTATGAAATAAGTACCAGGGGCATCTCATGGGGCTCCCTACTGACCCCGGGCCCTCGGGCAGTGCCCGAGTTTCCAATGATCAGTCCGCCTCTAATTCTGTGTATCTAAGAAACAATCCAGGCCTTTTTTAAAGAAATCCACTGAGCTGGCCAGAACCAACTCTTGAGGGAATCTATTCCACATTTTCACAGCTCTTACTGCGAAGAAACCTTTCCGTGTTTGGAGTTTAAATTTTTTTTTCCTCTAACTTGTAACTTTAGCTTGTTCAATTAAGCTTTGACAATAAGTTCTCATGCACACGGGACATTTTTACAGCGGCTGTTTTTGGCTTTTGGAGGTTTTTTCTACAGCTAGTAAAATCCCCCACCATGTTATCCTATGTGTCCATACACACATAGACTGTAATCAATGTTTTTTGACAGGTGCCAGAACTAGTGGGTTTCTAGAGGAGTTTTAAAATGCTCTTATGCATTTACGCAGTAAAACGCGGTAAAACACAGCAAACTGGCATTTTTGGACTTTTTTTTAGCACAAAACATTATTTTTTTGGTAAAAATAAACCGCTAAAAAACGCAAACGCAACAAAACGCAACTAAATGCTAATAAAACACTGAAAATCTTTACACAGCTAACGTTACCAGCATTAGTAAAACACCCAGTGTGCATGGAGCCTAAAACCTGGAAGATGATTGTTTTCTATGCAAAGCCAAGTTTTAGTTGCACTGATGCCGATATCGGTGCCTATACTAAGCATTTACTCGTGCAAATACTCCGATATCTGAAACCAATACCTTTATGGTGCGATTACAGCCCATTCAAAATTAATGAGCTCAAATCACACTGCAGAATCAAATCCGATTTGAACAGGAATGTGGTGCGATTCTTGCCCCGATTCACTTGCGGGTGCTCTGCGATTTGCTGTGCGATTTGAGGCATTCATTTTGTATGGGATCTAATCGTACCATAAAGGTATTGGTTTCAGGTATCAGAGCATTTGCATGAGTACTCGTGCAAATCCTTAGTATCGTCATCAATACCCATACCGACATCAGTATCGTACAACCCTAGCAAAAACTGCATTGTGCACAATCTGGTGCAGCTCTGCATAGAAACCAATCAGCTCCCAGGTTTTATTGTCAAAGCTTAATTTAACAAGCTGAAGTTAGAAGCTGATTGGTTGATTCCAGACTCTGCCGGTGACTGCTCTTGTACCTGCAGTTACATGTTCTTCCTGGCCAAGGATGGCTTGGGTGATTGGAGAGGAGCGCCCAATGTTCAAAAAAAGTCTCATTTGATGAATGTTATAATTTATTGAAGATAAAAGTAAACAAGCAGAGCCAATGTGTGGCAGGGGGAATCATCTTCCCTTCTTCGGGGCTAGTATACAGAGAGAAAGATGCATGGTAAAAACCCATAGCCGGTCCATAAGATTTGTATAAAGTGCAAAGAAAACATTTTGTCGTTAAATATAGTTTCAAAATACAGTGTAATCCTCATTTAGTCTCTAAAAACATATTGCAATTATTTTTTTTTTTAGAAACTACCATCTTTTTCTCTGTATACTAGCCCTGAAGAAGGGGTTAGCAATTCCCCTGAAACACGTTGGCTCTACTTGTTTACTTTTATCTTCAATAAACTATAAAGTTCATCAAGTGAGACTTTTTTTGGGACATTGGGCGCTCCTCTCCAATCACCCAAGCCATCCTTGGCCAGGAAGAACATGTAACCGCAGGGACAAGAGCAGTCACCGGCAGGGTCTGGAATCAACCAATCAGCTTCTAACTTTAGCTTGTTAAATTAAGCTTCGACAATAAAACCTGGAAGCTGATTGGTTTCTATGCAAAGCTGCACCAGATTGTGCCGTTCCTCTCCTATTTCTCAAGTGTTCCCTGCAGTAACGCCTCCATTGTTTTCAGAAAGGTAGCAGCCCTAGAACCCAACGGAGTCTATTACTCAACACCTACAATTGGGCTTAAACCCATTGGAAAAAATTCCCTCTATACCCTCCACACAGTAACTTGCCACTAGGGAACTTCCAGCAGCACCAGTCCAGTGCTGTCTTCCACCCAAACTTGATGGCTAAGGATGGGAGAAATGAAGAGGTAAACCAGCTCCAGGGTTCTCTCTTCTGTCTCCAAGAACTATGATAGGGGACCTCAGGGCACCCTGCCCTCCCCTAGGAAGGGGAGAGCAGAAGAACAGCAGATGGCGTTGCCTCTTTCTTCCCCAGACTGCTCACCTCCCAACTAGAACCTGCCTATTCTCCCAGTCTTCTCCTAGGGGGAGGAGCCATTTTAAAGGGGACCCTACTCCACCATCAAAGGCCAGAGTACTTGGTGTCATTCTGGACTCCAACCTATCCTTCCAGCCCCAAGTCCAATCTTTAACAAGCTCGTGCAGACTCCACCTCCGCAACATGGCCAAAATCCGCACGTTCCTAACCCCAGAAACCACTAAACAGCTCATCCACTCCCTCATCATATCACGACTCGATTACTGCAACTCCCTCCTCACTGGCCTGCCTCGCCACTGGCTATCCCCGCTTCAGTCAATCCTGAATACGGCAGCCAGACTCATTCACCTTTCCAACCGCTCCGTTTCCGCCACCCCCCTCTGCCAATCCCTCCACTGGCTTCCGATTGCGCAACGGATCACATTCAAAATCCTAACACTGATGTACAAAGCCATCCACCACACTCCAATATATAAAAGCAACCCATTTATATTAGTAGCAATGTATTAAATTTAAGACAAAACATTTAAGGTTTGATAAAAAAAATGTACAGCAAAAGTTACTTGTTCTGGCCTAGTAAATAAAATATTCAACAGTTCAGTGCAAAGTGCAGTATCCATAGCATGCCATCTTACTTTTATTGGCTTCACATCAGTAAAGGAATTATATTTGATTAGTAATGTATCAGCACTGCTCTTTTTACTGCTCTACGTATTTCCTATTAAATACGTCTATTAATAGGAAACTATAATACATTTTCCGTAGATTCTAAATTATTATAGTATCCATTATTTTTACTTTGACTTTTTTTTCAATATTTGCTCTTCCATATTTCAATATTTTATTATCATAAAGTTATGTAATGGTTTATTTGGGGCCCATTACACCTTCACACATGGTAATGCACATGAGCTTTATAGAACCAGCTACATTACAGGGAATTCAACTTCTCACTTAAAATTAGGGATGAATAGAGAAATTTCTGTGAATTGGTTTCACCGCAAAATTACCATTTTTTCTGAAACTGTTGATTTTGCTTACTGAACTGTATATGCAAAATGTGCTTGAAATAAAAAAAAATAGCCTTTTTTTTGAGGCTGTAATTATTTTTTCCTTTTTTTGCGTGTGATTAATTGTTATTGTGTACTGCCACTTATATTTATTTTTTACCTATATATATTTTTGCACTTTTTTTTTTTTTTCTGTAAAAGAAATGTTCTGATTAGGATCCATATTTTTGCACAAGAACAGGCCCAGGTTAGTTCAAAAAAGCTTCATTTAAAAACAAAAAAAAAAAAAAAACTTTCAATATGTTTCACCAAAATGGCAATATTTTGCTGAAATCTTCTGATTTTTTCAGATATTTTGCTCAGGCCTTATTTCTAATGCAACATAATTTGAAGTAAAAAAGGAAGCATGTTTATAGGCCCTCAGTGGTCTTTTATAATACTGAACGTGATTACAATTTCTTCGCTTCTGAGATCAGCTCAGCCAAGGCGGCAACAAATGACCTAACCTGGTCCCCAATTTGATAGGGCTTTGTAGTGTTATCTTATGGGTGATAATTATTGTTTTTGATAGTATAAGTGTTTGTAATTGCAAACATATTTCTATTTAAAACATTTTTCTGGCTTGTTGGAAAATTTTGGAATGAAGGGAGTGATCATTGAGAAGGACGTGCTCCAACATACAGGCACTGTTGGCCAAATCCCAGCACTTTCAGTTGACAGAAAGATATTCCCCTGTTTATTGTTCTGTCTGTGGTCATGCTAATGTTATTCACACTTATCGGCTTATTCCTTTTTTTAATTGATCATGTCAATATTTGTATTGAATCTGGAAAACATCAATAGTTTCCTGCACACTATTTTACCCCCAAATTCAAATAGAAAATCAAAATACTTGAATTGGTAAATTCCGGTGGTTGTGATGAGCTCTCTTTTAATAGATAACTGGTATTGGCATTATTTGATTACTTAGAAAAAAGAAGAGGCATTATTTGTGTAATTTGTGGTGAGCAGCCAGTGTTTTCTGATTGATTTGTTATTATTATAAATGGCTGGATTGATGCACCCCAGCTTTCCATTGCTGCTGACTTAAACATTAGGTTCCACCAACAGATTAATTAAATAAACAGATTGATCAATAAAAAAAACAAATCCATGTATATGTGGTCAGCGTCTACATTGTTGAGATTCTACTTCTGGCCCATAGAAGCAACAATACTTTGCATTATTATTCAGCAGCAAGCAGAGCCTGCATATGTAATAAACAAATATAGCTGCCTCCCATCACATATAGTAAATACTTGCAAAGAGGAAGGTTGTTAAGTATTACCGCTTAATAGTATTATTAATATAAATATGTACGTAAAGAATTTTTTTTAAACATTTTGGAAAGTGGGAAAAGGTTAGACCTCCCGTCAAGTTTTATCATTGATTATGTCCCAGCTAAGGAGATTCTCCCCTTCTTTATGTCCTGGTGAAGGGAAATATCTCCAGTGTGGCACAGACAGCTAAAAATAACCTAATGAGGATTACCCATTTTATATATATATATATATATATATATATATATATAGAGAGACTTGGCTATACATAAACTGTGAAGAGGATCTTCACTCATTCAACTGATTTGGATCCTCTGCATCCCACCCTCTGCTGCACATACAGTATATTGGATTATTTTTTTCCTTTTTTCTTAATATTGGATGCAATCCGCCCTTTCCCCCCCATTCTCCATAATTTGCCTAGGCTAATGACATTAGTGCCCCCGGTGCCTCCTGAGATATGTGATGTGCATATCCCAAAAGGCATTAGGAGCCCCCGCACGTCACCCCATTCGCTAACAGAGGAGGAGGTGGGCCTAGTGGCTCATCATCAGTAGCTTGCACCAGAACTTGGAAGAGCTGGTGGAGCCTCACAATGATGTCACAGATGAACATGGCTGTGCAGGGCCCCAGAGGCTCCAGGACACTGCTGGATCCTCTGTGTGGGTGAGTAGTTGAAATGTGACCATACCAGCATCAGATAAGCGGGGGTGCCAAAAACAAAAAAATTGGGGAGGAGGGTGAAATTCCTCTTTAGGTTGTCCATATTCTCATAGTCTTCCATTACGACTGTTTGGTTCCTGACCTATCTGCATTTATAAGTTAAAACCAAGATCTCAGGGGGGCGTTCTCACATTTATCAGCCGCCAGAAGGCTTAATCTGATTTTTATCTGGCAGAATGATTGATTGTGATCCATGTGCTTCAGACTGATAGATAATAATTGGTTATCACTTACTTATGGTTAATTATTCCGACTAAATTAGAAATCTAGGTCAAAAATACCAGAAGTAAAAAAAAAAGGGGAGTAAATGTCAACTACAGTATAGATAGTAAGGGGACAACAAATTCTGATTTGTCCTGTGATGATAAGACATATTATTTAAATATGGCAATGTGTGATTTGTTTGAAGCAGGATCTCAGTGTGTTTACCTAATGGAAGGGTATTGGAGTGAGAAATTCACACATAATGCAAAAACAGGTCCATGCTACGCTGTCTGTTCAGATGTATTCTATATGCAGATCTCCCAGCTTGAGTATCTTTTAACACTTAGGTTCCCGTGAACATAGTAACCTTCCAATTCCATCTCATTGCCAGTATCTCACTTTATTCTTTCTACTAGCCATCCATTGTTTCTTTTCGCTAAGGAAAAAAAAGCACAACTAAATTATTGTTAAATCACATATATGAAGTATAAGACACAGGTCAAATCCATGTTCCACTAAGTCAGACCATATTTGTATTTTTTTTAAGCTATTTAAAATATATTTATTTTCTCTACTTTTTTTTTTTTTGTATAGTGTAGTGGATGTGTGTGTTGTATTGGAAAATTTTACCTTCACCTTCTGTCCTGGAGACAAAAGGGGGGAAATTTACTAAAACTGGAGAACCCCTTATCTGGTGTAGCTGTGCATGGTAGCCACTCAGCTTGTAACTTCAGCTTGTTCAATTAAGCTTTGATAATAAAACCTGGAAGCTTATTGGTTACTGTATTGCCCTCCTATGTAGCTAGGGGGAGCTAGACTCCAATGGTTAGATAGGGACTGAGCAGCAGCCCAGGTGTAATAGCCAGAGTGGGGTCAAATTGTGGTTCACGTCAAGAGGCTCTGCAGGCCAGCCTCTCTGGAATTTCCCCTGCTCTAGAGCTTTAGAGGAAGGCCTAGAAGCAGTGGGTGGATTTGAGGAGTGGTTGGCCTGTACTCTTCAGGGAACCTGGCCAATCCCCAACAGGAGGTTGGAAAGGGGCCAGGACAACCCTTAAAATTAAGAGAGCCTACTCAGTAGGAGGAGAATGCGGATGGAAGATGGAGAAGTGAGGTTGAGATTCAGGAGCCTAGTAAGGAGCCCAGGCTGGAGGGGGCTTGCCTCTAGGCAGAAGTACCGTGAAGGTAAAAAAGCTGTGGACTTCACTGGCCCCCTGAGAGAGAACCACTTGGTGGCAGGGAAGGTACTCCTACACCCCCTGGGCCAGAGAGGGGAGAGAGCAATTGGTTGGGAAACCTGACTAGCTCTACACCTGAGACTGTTACATTTTAAGTAGAAGCTTTGGACTCCCTTACCCAGGGATTCCTCTAGACAACTGGGTAAATAAGAGGAGTT